CATCATATGTAAGTCATGTGAATCCTTTAGCCAGTTCCCCATAAACCTACAAGTATGGTTTGAGATAGGACAGTAGCTATCAATATGAAGGCATAGAATAGCCTTTCTTGATGTGAAAGACAATTTGTACATGATGTCAAAAGTAAATGCTGCAGCAATGGCAATATGTAAAATCATGTCAATCCTTTAACCTCATCCCCATAACCTATACAGAGTCAAGGACACTATAAACTATATGTCAACTACAAACTTTTGTAGCCTCAAAAAGCAGACACTACAAACTTTTCTAATGAAAAAGCGGACACTACAAAATTTTGTAGTCTGACAAGCGGACACTACAAACTTTTCTAATGAAAAGGCACACACTACAAACTTTTGTAGTCTAAAAAAGCGGACACTATAAACTTTTCTAATGAAAAAGCGGACACTACAAAACCTTTTAATGTAACCCTAATTTTGTAGTCTAAGTCCAAGCTTTTGTAGTCTAAGTCTGACTTTTGTAGTCTTTTGTAGTCTATCAGTAAACTTTGTAGCCTATGTCCAACTTTTTTGTAGTCTATCAGTAAACTTGGTAGTCTATAACTGACTCTTGTAGCCTGTCAGTGTTGATTGCTCTTTTAGGGAATGCACCTTCCTTTTTTGGTCAATTTTCCCACGATATGATATTTGTTGCCCTTTCATCTAGCTTTCTAAATGTGTTGGAATCATGTTATTTGGTTTTGTTTTCATGAAGAAAAATGCAAAAAACCAAAAAAAACACGACGCTTTTGGAATTCCTTTACCTCATATCTCCACAACAGGAGCACTTCAGAACATAATTCAACCAGATTCGGGAAGCTACAGTGCAGGGGTACAACTTTCGCTTTTTGACTATTTTTGGTAATTGGTCATGTGACCACCCTCCCAACAACCCATGTGATACATATCATCATTATTATATAGTTTTCGGTAATGAAAGTGCCAAAGGGCCTAATGAAATATACTAATGAAAAATCTAAGAAATAGTAATGAAAGTGTCAGGGAGCCTAATGAGAAGTGATGAAATCGTCAAGGTGCTCAATGAAATATCCTAAAAGAAATGGTAATGAAAGGGCCAGATGCCCCAATGAAATCTCCCAATGATAAATCTAATGAAATAGTCAAGGAGTGTAATGAAATATCCTAATGAAAGTGCCAAGAAGCATTCTAATGAAAATTCAATGAAATGGTAATGAAAGGGTCAAGGAGCTGAATGAAATATCCCAATGAAAATTCTATGAAATGGTAATGAAAAAGCACAGGAGCCTAATGAAATATCCTAATGAAAATTCTAAGAAATGATAATGAAAAAGCGCAGGAGCCTAATGAAATATCCTAATGAAAATTCTATGAAATGGTAATGAAAAAGCACAGGAGCCTAATGAAATATCCTAATGAAAATTCTAAGAAATGATAATGAAAAAGCGCAGGAGCCTAATGAAATATCCTAATGAGAATTCTAAGCAATGGTAATGAAAAGGCGCAGGAGCCTAATGAAATATCCTAATGAAAATTCTATGAAATGGTAATGAAAACGCGAAGCAGCCTAATGAAATATCCTAATGAAAATTCTAAGAAATGATAATGAAAAAGCGCAGGAGCCTAATGAAATATCTTAATGAGAATTCTAAGAAATGGTAATGAAAAAGCGCAGGAGCCTAATGAAATATCCTAATGAAAATTCTATGAAATGGTAATGAAAAAGCGAAGCAGCCTAATGAAATATCCTAATGAAAAGTCTCAGAAATGATAATGAAAGGGCCAAAGAACCTAATGAAATATCCCCATGATATCTCATTATCCTTGTCTATAACTTATGAAAGATTCCAGTGATAAATTGAATGAAATAGATGGGCAATCCTAATGAGATGCCTTTCATAAAACCTGTGGCATTATACACAATGGCTCTTGGACAGTTGTCATAGATTAATCATAAAAGTGGTAGCCACCAGTCCTGTTGGCCTGCTAGCGCTGTGGACGCAACCTCATCATACTGTCGCCAAACCCAAAGCAAACACCCACGAAGGGATCCAGCAATACCAGCAAAATACCAGACTGCCTATCTCGCGGTGCTGAAGCCTCAGCGTCGAAACCAGGCGAGTTTCAAGCACTTAAGTGGGCTTGAGCCACGGCAGTGACTCGGGGACATTGGCGCGTTAAAAACAAAGCCCCTTTAGTTTTGCTCTTTCCTTACGCAGCCTTACGCACCCATTGGATATATAATGTCATGTTTTTTTCTACGCTTCTGAGATTTATGTAGTGTATGCGCCCACGGCCAGCAGGTACAGGCAGTGGCACATTCGCATACTACTGTTCCAATAAATACTGCTATTTAAATTTGTGACCCAGTGAAGGAAAGTAAGTATACGGACTCGAAAGTGAAACTAGGGCTGATCCACGGGAGCAGTACTAGTCTGTTCATCATTGCTGAAATTCGTTCCCCCGGCATGAATATCTTCAGATAGTTTGAAGGACAACATGAGCTGCGTACAGTCAGTAATGCAGATACCAGGTGCGGTATCGGACGTACCCGATCGATTGGTAGGGCATGGATAAGGTATTTCTGCCCATCGCTGCGCAGATTTGTCATGGCAAAGTGTGATACAACCTGTTCGAGCATGATAAGGTGGAGTAGTCTTGGCACCTTCTCACATAGATACCCCCCCGCGAAACCGAACCTGACATACGGGTCGATGCTAGGATCGATCCTCTGGTGCTCTCGAACAACCAAGTAGAATGTTTTGATTCCTTGATAGACATGCTGGAAGATTTTCTCGATCCTTCCCGTCTTGTGGAGGTCATGAGCGTGCGGTGAGACACTGCTACTCCCCCTAAAAATGATTGCACTATCACGGAATGATGGAGATGCGCATGTTCCATATGACACGCCGCGTCTTGCAATGCGATTTAAAGAGAAAGCCTCAGCATGGGGACGGACTGCATTGCCGTTCAACGGATTACTTCCTAAGATGCCACATAGAAGCTGGTATGGTTCCCCACTGAGCGTGAAAGGCGCTAGACTTGAGTCTGCGTAATCAGGTAGCGTAGGATCCAGCATGCTTGCAAGGCGGAAGCCACGGATGTCTTCCTGCTCAATTGCCTTTATGCTTTTTACCAGCTCCATGACATTTTGGCGTACCGCTTCGTCATCGGCAAGAATCGCACGAAGATTAGCTGTTCGGGATGATACCTTCATGAATGTTGTTTCCAGATCGCCTGTAGAGAGAGAGGGGGGGGGGGTCATGATCAGCGACAGGTACTGATCAATATGGAGTGAATATGCACCCAATTTTTTATTAGTGTTCAGTTGCTGCAAAAAATAGATATATCGTTCATAGAAGGGCGCGCTGTGTGAATGGACAGGTCCAAACAGGTCCATAATGTCGCCAAGGTGAAGCGCCGCGTGAACAGTAGGCTTTATTGAGACATCTGGGAAAAGGGTCGGGAGTGCGCTTGCATAGCGAGAAATATGAAAATTATAGGCCCGAACTTGATTTTTGGAAGAAACACGCATGTTGGCAATGCGTACCGCAGTAGCCAGGTCCATGAAATTTTGCAGGAGTTCTGCTTTGCGGCCAGTTTCGTCCTTCCACAGTCGGATTAAGGTGATGGGTAAATGAACCGTGCAAATCACCCGCCAGTTGTCTGCGGTAAGCTTCCCCCGTTTGGCAGTGCCCCAGTTGCGAGGCACCAAACCGACCCATGACGGAAGCTGTGTGAACGCCATATCTTCCCAGACGGCCTCCATGACATCGCTACCCAAGACAGCTCGAGAACCAACTTCAGGTTGGGTGGACGAAAGTTTGGCGGTATTTTCCGGGTTATTATCTATCTGGAAATAAGTTAAAGAGTGGGCTTCGTCAATGAGATAGAAGTATAGCTTACGGCGGATATGACGGCCTGGAACAACTGAGATTTAGCTGTGTTTCTTTTCTTTAGATTGACGTGGCCGTGATCAATTCCCAAAAGCTCGCATAAGTAAATCAAAACAGGATTATTCGCATAGGTGTACGCTTTTTTCCTTGATCCTTCGAGATCATCCTTATCGATGAGATGACGAATTACTCGTGCGACACGCTTCGGGTCGACATCATCTGCAGCGACTCCAGTATCAACGGTCTCTGGCTCCTCATCGAGAAAATTTTCTTCGCCGCGGGGAGAGTGGGGGCCAGCGGATTCCTGATCACTTTCACCAGTTTGTTCGATGTTCTCTGCTTCCGTTGAACTCCTCGGGCCGTTCGCTGCTGTTACTCCCTCATCGTTAGCTTCCGTCGTGCTCCCATCCATAGTCAGTGCCGAGGATAGAAATGCAAGTAATTCAGGATTTGATCCCTGTCGCTGAATTGAACATTAATATTGCTATCGACCTCAATTTCCAAAAGACATACCCAATGATGTATGTTCCTGGCAAGCACCCATCTCGTTCCAACTACCTTTGTATGACCAGGGCCCTTGACGTCGTGCTCCACGCAAAATGTGTAAAGAACTTTGCGATTGAAATCCAGGAGCTTGTAGAGAAGTTTCGGATGGTTTTCTTGCACTAGCTTTTGGCACTTGTCCAGAGCCTTGATGTCGTTTTTCGAAGATACCAACGGATCTTTCGAAACCCAGGGTCCTGATACCGTTCCGTCCCCCCCTTTTGTATCTGGGTCAATCTGAAAGTTGAGCCGGAGGTGATTTTGAATAAGGTTGAGATCAAGAGCATGCATAGAGTCAATTATTGCATACAGCGTCGGATCCCAATACGGGAGATCAAAGAGAGCGGACCAACGCAAGCCTGTGCCTCGAATATG